TAATCCATAGACACTACATTTACCGAGGTTCCCTAAACACCTCACATTGCAGGCTGCGGTAGATGCTGCTAGGTGGCTGCAGTGCTCTCAGACAGGTGTGTGAGCAAAATTACTTTGAAAAGAGTAAAAACTGGGCAGTCTCACATCAGATTTGTCCAAGGTGAGACAGATTTTTTTCAATCTTATCCACATTTCACCTTTTTTTTTTGAGTGGAGCGCATATTTAAATGTAAATACTACAATCGATCATGTTTATGTAATAATGAAAAACTAAAACCATGATCATGATTAGTATTCATTTAATTTTGCAGCCATACTACTGTGGAAGCCGTTGTAAATGAATGTATTGCATTTTTTTTCCTTCACCGGTTCAGTCGGTATCTTCCTACCTGCACCTGAACTCTGATCATCAGGTGTGCCTGAGTCAGATCTGTCCACCTCCACCAGCCGCCTCCCCTTTTCTCATTTTGTTTTTATAATTATCAGCTACACATCGCTTTGCCTTTGGAGCACAGAACCGCTAAATAACTTGTTTTACGGCATGGACAAACTACCAGGGCCACGGGAAACTAAAGTACTACTTTCCACCATTATGGCTAACGCAGTAGTTACCTGCGCCAGTTAGAGCGAGTCTTAATGATCATCACGCACTCACACAAATGCAACCACGAGATATTTTAACTCGCACACTCTCAAGAAAAGGTCACATGTGCGGCCATTTTGGTAAAGATGGGCTTTTCTTCGACTAAGAAAAATTGCTAAATGGAATTCCATCCTATGTCGGAAAGACATGACAGCTGTAATCACTGTATTCCTCTCCTCATGGCTAGACTACTGTAACTCACTGGACCTGGGTGTCAGAAAAAAAATGAAATAAAATAAAACTTGATTTGATGCACAGGCTAACTGCAGCATCACTTAAGCTCTGGGGAATAGAAACTCCCTTCTCCTACAGGTGGTGATGACATAAACTCAGTGCTTTGCAGAGAAGCGTATTGGTTGCACACTTGAAACACAGTGAAGCCCTTTGGCATAAATGAAGAACTGAATTTGTCATGTTTCCTCTGAAGTTGTCAAACTGAACAGGTATTTATAGTCCCTTTATCCTTGTAAATCTCAGAGAAGTTTGTTGTCTCTGACATGACGTTAGCCCTGACATAGATGATTTGCTTGATTTGCCACATTTCTTCTTGGTTGTCACCTTTGACAAATGTTTGTTTTGATATTTGTTGTACTTGAACCTGTGTAACTTCAGGTCTACGTTCCTGTGTTTCTGTCATGGTGTTAGGGATGTGACACTTAGACACTAACTCCCACCTTTGGATTTATCAATAGGATTTTTTCAAAAGATGTCAAACTCTTTTCAACCAATTAATTACTGATAATAGTAAAGCTGGCTCAGGTAGAATAAATCTGTCTGCCTTATGTGTTTGCGTACTTCTTCTTCTACTCGTGTTGAAACATTAGTCCATTTGCAAAATAAAAGTGCAATGTGAACTGAACACTACTCCAGCCTCTTTTTTTGTACTTGGAAAATGTGCTGTCCTCGAGCTGAGGAGTACCTGTTTCAGCTCCATTTTGCTGGATGATGCACAGAGAGCTCGGTTCCTACTAGACACAGTCACACACTCGGTACCAGCAGCTGAAGCAAAAACTCATTCCACTCAAAATTATAAAGTTTCATCTTGAGCAACAAAGCTTTTATTCCATGTATGTAAAGACACGAGGCAAAGAGGAACAAGGCCACAAGAATAAGTAGAAGAGAAAATTCCTGATACATTCTGGAATCAGTCCATCACTGTCTCCGGGGTTGTAAAGCTGATGTGCCTCAGCTATCACTCAAAGACTCTGGACTTGTTGTCACAGCTGTGCTGTTAGTAGGGAAACAAGTCTACTGGCTGTTTGTGGCCAAAAGACACAGACTACAAAACCACTCCAGTGGACAAAGTAATCAAAAAATGTACTTAATGTTGCACGAGTGAGACAAGGTGTTGCCTTTGAGTGAGTGAGAACACTGAAGTTGTAGCACTGACAAAAGCCACTCTTAAATGCTCCACTGCTACTGTGCCACTGCCCAGTCTGCCATCTAACTGATAACATTTTACTCTATAATAATTACCATTGTTTGAGCTTGGTGATGCATAATGTCATGATTTACAGCAAGTCCTATGCTACACTATCACAATACAGTGCTAATCAATATCAGTACCACAGCACCTTTTAACATGAAAAGGAATAAGATCATTTTACATAAATTTAAGTCTAGATACTGTAATAGCTATATTTAGAATTTATACACTGAGAATCAATGGACAACTGTAAAGGGACCACTACGGAACACACTATAATCCCCAATTACCAACCAATCAGATATTGACTAATTGTGATTTAGACCTTTCTCAGTCCTTTCACAGAATAAAAGCGAACACATTAAACATCACTGAAGACCTGAGCAGCTCGCTGGAACTGCAACTCCCCAGATTACAGATTCCCCTTGAATCACACATAGTCAGGAAGCACATCCTCACTGTTCTTGAAGAGAGAAGCTGATGTGATTTGAGAAATAATGAATGAAAACATTGAAATAAATCAGCAATCGTTCACTTAAAGCCGCAAGTTTGCTACAAGACAACAGTGAGCCTTAACTTGAGCAAGGCGGGGGGAGTAGATGGGTGGGGAGCGTGTCTGGAGGGGGAGCAGCATCTGTGACAAACCTTAATTTTAACAGTCAACCGCTTCAGACCACATCTTCTGTTAAGTGACGGCCATAAAACCCATACACGTAAAGATGTTCAGTCACAATTCTCCCAGATATGAATCACCACTGCACCTTCGTCGTCCCATTCCTTGACTAGGAACAGCCATCTCCAAGCAACTGGGGGCCTGTGTCGCTCTACTCCAGGGCATGGTAAGGGCTGGGGTGATGCGGTAGCGGAGCTAGCAGCTACTGCTAGCTGCCATAACAAATAAAATGCTGCATGTCCACTGAGAGCAGTCCGGGGCTACTGGCTGGCTGCTATGACAGCTAAAGCCGTCGCAATCTGCATGGCACACCACACGTATGCAGGAGGATATCAACACGTCTCCATCATGTAACAGCACATACATCCATCTCCGGCGGCATCCTTCCCTTTCAATTGGGTGCTGTGCGTTAACTTAAGGCAGGTCGCAATACCACTCCTACTTAAACTTGCTTAGATAAGCACACATTGATGAAAACCAGCATTAGCTCATTTATGAGCAGCCCGAGCCTCGGTCAACTAGCAGCACCGTTAGCCGTCAGAAACGACTCAGTGACAAGGTAAAGTAGAAGGGCATGGGGTTAGTAATGCTACACTTAGACGACGGTGCACAGGACTAAAACGGGATGAGTCCATCCTCATAATTTACGTCTCAGATACCGAGATAGGCCGGGAGAGCCTTAATGGTGAAAAAAAATAATTCATTGTCCAACCCGCCTATTTTATCGAAGTCTGCCTCCTTCCCTATTAGCCATCTGACCAGTAGCGGCAGAGGAATGGTGACACGAGGCCGGGTAGCTGGGCTGAAAAGCGTGGGGAATAGGTAACATTTTCTACCCAGCACTGTTAACCCTGCTCAGCTGTCAAGCCTCTAACACGTATTGCACACAACCACCAACTCTCCCTGAATAACACACAAACGCAGACCGGCTATTTCTTACCTCAGGCGGTGTGTCGAACCAAGTTCCGCGTCGCAGCCATGTTCGGAACCACTATCTCCCTTCGTCCACACGAACCGAGCCTCCTCCCCCGGATCAGTCGTTCCTCTTCCACAGCAGAAATCCAGTTAATTTAATATAGAGTTATTGGCCAATAAAATCCGGTGATATTAGTTTCCAGTAAAATTGCGGTATTCTGTATTCTCCGGTGTTCGGGGAGCGGGTTGTCGATGAGGACTGATTGCCGGCGCAGCACAGCTAGCCCTGCCTAAGGGGAGGTGGGCAGCCCGCCGCCTCAACCACCTTGAACTTACTCTTCTTTCAATTCGGCGAACCTAATTTACTTGATCACTATTTGTTCTCAGAGATCACCTTACAGCTACGGCGTGAGAAAGTTGGATAAGCGATCCTTTCCGCTTTTAAATGGATTTAAAGGCAATAAGCTAACATGAACGAGCTAGCTAGCTAGCTAGTCGCTAGCATGCTAGCTGTCTAATAAAACACTGCCATTGGAATTTGAAGGAAGACAATCCGCTAACTGCAGGTTGCTTGGCGTCAACGGCCAGCCTATGGCCAGAACCTGCAGACGCGATGAAAAATCTATGTATTTTAGCAGGTACAGCTACAGCTAGCTCTATGATGGCCAGCCCCTCTGTGATGTTAATATCGGTCAAAGGAGAGGGGCTGCATTGAGAGCGCACTCCCGACACCAGGCAAGTACGGCCCAGCGCGTTCCAGAAAAATTTCCCACAAAATGGCTGCCAAAACAAATCCACCGTGTATGGCTTCACAAACTTCCAAAAATTTTAAATGAAGACGTGGTTGCGTAAAAATTTTAAATGCAACGAAAGTCTAAACGAAACCCGGTTCCGAATAATTTGTGTGCTGGCTTCGACAAAAAGAATAAAGAAAAGAAAAAAGCAGCTTAGTTTGGCGCAAGTTGTCACGAGTTAATGTAGAGAACCTGTTAGATTTCTCTGCATATAGGTCCGTTTAACAAATAACATCAATGGCATTCGGTTAGTCGCATAAATCACATCCCGTCAATAGTGTTGCTGTCATGAACTAGATATATAAATCTCGGTTTTAGTAGTGACAACATTTGGCCATGCACTCAGATGGAGATGAAGCTCTGTTGAGGTGCTGGTCCAGAGGAACCATGGACCACTGCAGCACCAACACCCACAACTGCTCATCAGTCCATGTGTCTACTCCTACAGTGCAAGTAAACAGAATAAAATACAGACGTGTTCCAAAGAGTTTGGTTGGGATGTGAAAGTACATTTCTACATCATCTTCATAGCTAGACAATACAATTAAATTATAACCAATCAAAAACAATACTTTTATTAAAGCAAAGTTCCCAGTTATGTCAAAAAATACATTTGAACTGGTTCAAGCATAAATTGTAGTCAACTGTCTACAATCATTCTTGTCATACACTCATCTGACAAAGTTATACTAGTATCAAACATAATAAAAAATGAATATTTTACTGTATGTAAGTTCTGCCAGTTAACATACATGAACAATACCAACAGGTCTATTTGTCGCAGGATTAAGGATATCCCTACCAATAGGGGTTGTACTATGTGTATCACAAGTACCCAGATAAAGGCAACACCGGGACCAGAACAACTTCATTAGAGTAATAAAAGGAAGAAAATTATCAGGAGCACAGAGAAGCAATAAAACAAAATAAAATACTGACAACACAAGAAACCTCACTGGAGCCAAACTCAAACAATGTAGCAGTTATTCAAACCTGCATAACTGGGAGAACCTTATGGAGAAAAGTTTCAGACAAATGCTTTATAACATTTGGGCATATGAAGTGAAATTCAAACATTTCATGATCACTTGTACAGTTAACATCTGACCACTTTCTTTGTAGTCTGATCATCTGTATATATGTATCACATATCTGCATAACAAACATGAAATACAGGTGGTTTGTAAAGAAATGTCTTTGCATATTACAAACTACTAACATGATTTGCTCCAGTGGGGCCACCAACTCGGATGGCAATCTATAGCAGAAACAGACCCACTAATAGAAGGACCGTCCAGAAGTTGGATGATTGATGCAGTCAACTATTAAAATGACTCAAAGAATGGAACCTCAGCTAAATTTTAGCCTAATTGGTAGTCATCCATTTCCACTGTGGAGGAAATATAACAGGCAGGAGGAGGTGAAAGGAGAGCAACACACAACACAGACAGTGCCAAAGGTAGATGGTGGTTGAAAATGGTAATTGTTTGCCTGAGCTCTCTTCCACACCTTACTTCTTCTGTTTAGGTGGAGGTCTGAGGAAAGAAAAAAAGAAATAGGTTAAACAATCAATACAAAAAAGAAAAGGTTCAGGCACTATATATGCAAAGCTGACGGCAGCGTGTGGGAGGGTCTGAATGCACAGGTGCATCTCACATAATTAGAATATGGTGGAAAATGTTAAAATATTTTTCATCAGACATTGCTCAAAGTGACAACTGTACAGATTCTAGACTCTTCACACAAACTGAAGTATTTCAGGCTTGGTCAGGGCTCTCTTTGCTCTCTATATGTCCATACACAGCCACTTCTATGTATACCTACATATACACACATACATATATAGTATACACATGTATATACGTGCACATATAAATATATACACACACACAACGCTTTAATGACCATAGTGATGAGTGGGCGACACTTTGCTTCTCGTTTTTACATAATTTTCATAATTCAGGTTTCTAGAGAGAACGACAACATGTGACGGCCGACAGTTACTGAATGACAAGGTGTTAAACTGGAACTCTGGATTAATTCCTTGTTTGCTGACTATTTAGTAGTTTTCTGTGCAGTTATAATATATTAATGCCCTGGTCACACAGTGAGGATAAAAGATGCACAAGAGCACCTCAAAAAGTTCCTGGCCACACCACAACATGACACTGGAGGAAGGTTGTTGGTGCATTATTTTTCAACCCATTTACTTTAATTTAATGCAATTTGTCCACCAACGTTCAAGCTTCACTATCGCTACGTAGAAGGTGGTCACATCTTGAGATTTCAGCTACTCAACGGCATTGATGACCGCACCAGAATGAAAATGGCGACCACACAAATGGGACTTTAGAAATTCGACAAATTAGGTCGGCTAAGTGAGGTGAACTGGGCAACAGTTTGAAGCAACGTTTGGTTGCTTCTGCCACCTGTGCTGTGTGGAAGGGTTCACTGTCTTTGAGCACCAGCTTAAAGCTTTCCTCTCCATTTGATTACTTTAAAGATTTGAGTTTTTGTGGACAGGATTTGTAGTATGTTTGAGTACAGCGTTGCTAAAATTCTAGACACACGAATAAAAACTTATCAGCAATGTACAACGTGCGTCACTCTTAGAACTACCTGGGCAATTTGCTCCAAATGTAGGTACACTAGCTGAGAACAAAGATGACTCTTTGGCGTGTATATATCTTCATTACATCAGTTTAGACAGAACAGAGCGCTGTATTATAACTAAAAAATCTTATTGCAGCTTAGCCTAACTTTAACCTTCAATCAGACAGGAGGGCAACTGAATGAGCAACTAAACGTTACTGCTGGTGTTTAACACAGATGATCTGTTTAGTCGAAGCTGCACCCGTAATAATGTGTCATGTGACAGATTTATAGAATAATAAAACTTCATATTTCTACATACTTTAGATTAAAATTAATTTAGAATCATGCACAATTCTATTATCAATAAAAGAGTCCTGTTGGGAAGCACCATATCTAAGCTGGTCAGGGAGAGCAGGCTAGTGTTAGTTTACCTGTAGATGCCCACCACCACAGCATGGTCTCTTTCATAAGGCTCCAGTGTGAGTTGTTCTTGTGGTTTCATGTTTTCAACACTCATCTTCTTTACTTCTGAGGCAAACACTGCCTCTGGAGCTGCTGTCGAGTCTATACAGTTAGCCTAAAGGAAGAAAAGAAAAAAAAAAAAAAAACAGTTCAGACCATTGACAAACTTATCAAGAACAAACATCAAATGATCAAAACTGGAAGTACGACCTTGTGGTTGAATGCTTCCAACAAACAGGGAGTGACACTTTACACATGCCGTCCAGACTCAACATACACCAAGCAGCCACAATATTAAAACCACTGACATGTGACGCAAATAACACTGATTACCTTGTGACAATGGCACCTTTCAAGGGGTGCAATATTAGTCAGTCAGTAGACAGTTCTTAAAGCTCCACGTTTGAAGGTGGTAAAAATAGGCCATGTAAGGCTATAAACCACTATAACAAAAATAAAAAGTTTGTCAGATAACTAGCTCAGAGCATTTCCAAAACAGCTGGTCTTGTGTGGTGTTCTTGGTATGCAGTGGCTAGCACCTGCCAAAACTGGTCAAAGACAACTGGTGAAACAGTGCCAGGGTCATAGATGCATGCTTGGGGAGTGAAGGCTGGCTTGTATGTTCTGACCGCACAGAAGAGCTACTTTACCACAAATTGTTGAAAACCTGGTCTATCATAGCCAGCATTGACAAAATCTATGCTTTTTAGGGATGTCTCAAGCTAGTGCTGGACTGGGTTTAGGGCATTCTTAAGTTGATTTGCGTTCTTTGGTTACATTTTCTCTGCAGGTGTCAGAAAGGGTGAGCACACATTGTGGTAACAAGCTGCCTGATACAGTTCAGCTCTGCTGGGGGACATTAAGCATCGTAGGAGTCTGTCATGGTGCCCATCGCAAGCTCAACTTCCACAACGCTCTCTGCATGCCAACATAGCGCTGAACTCATCTGAGGGACCGCCTCCTTGAGCCACTACAGTAGTCAACAGTAAGAGGCCCCACCTGGTGGCCCAAGCAGGTACTACAGTCAATATACAATGTATGTTCTGACATGCATGTAGAGAACACAGGTTTATGCAGTATGCGAGATGGTGGAACAACAGTACACTCTACCCTCTACTCTACATATGAGATACTGCCTGTGTAGGGAAATGGTATCAGATTGGGACTCAGCAGGAAAACTATTTTTCTTTTTTTTTTTTATTTGAACAAAAATGTTCATAATTCCCTAAACAGCTAGATGAGCTCAAAGTGTACCACCATACGTTTATAAGAAAACAGTAATTCCTCTATGCAGGAACAACTCTAATGTGGATGACTGGGCATATGTGGGTCGTTTCCATGGGAAAGAGATGGCAGAATGCACTATGGGAAGACAGCAAGCTGATGGAGACAGTGTAATAGGCAATGTACTGCTGAATATCCTGGCATTTATATCACTTTGACATGTACTGCCTAGCTACAAACTGTTGCAGACCATGTACAAACCTTCATGGCAATGGTATTCCCTGATCTCAGTGGCCTCTCTAAGCAGTATAATGTGCCCTATCACATTGCAAAAATTGTTTAGGAATGGTTTGAGAGGCATGACAGAGTTTAAGGTGTTGACTTGACTCAGTCCGACAGAACACCTGCAGAATGAGCTGGCCATACATTGAGGCACAACCTTGCAACTTACAGAACTCAGGGCACAAGGGAGACCAACACAAGACTGGACAAGTGGCTTTAAAGCTGTGGCTGATTGTTGCAGGGAGTTTTGAAAGTTAAGTCCGTTGTGAGAAACAAAAAAACAAAATCAAACTACTTTTACATGCTTGGCCAGTGAAGCTCATTCAGATAGAACACAAAGTTGTCACCAGGGCATTAGAAAACGCTTCACATATGGACGTTGCTCAAGTAAACACATTCTAAAATATGGATAACTAACACAGCTTCAACCTGGCAGCACAGAACACCAATGCAGTTTAATGGTGGGCACCCAAGATTATTGTCACTAATTCAGCATCTGACTAAATGTAAAATATGTTTCTGTTCTTCAGTTATGGCATTGAAAAATGGCCAGAAAATTGTCTTCACAGAACATTATAATGTCACAGTGAAGCTGACCTTTAACTTGGATACAGAATGTGAGGACATCAGTTAATCCTACTATACATTTGTGTAACATTTTCTCACAATAAGCATATTTAGCCCAACAGTGATCCTTGAGTCAAAGTGGATGGTGTGCCAAAAGTAATGAAATTCCCTCCAAGTGTTCCTAATATATCGCTTTCACAGGAACAGGATGGAGGTCACAGTGACCTCTGTCCAGTTCTTTCATAAGTCCAAACTATCCCTGTCAGTCTCAAGACTGAAACCGCATCTTATGATTCTCTCTGGATTCTACTGTCACATAATTAGCTGGCCAATAAGGTAACTTAGTCGCATGGTGTTTGTGTAGTTATTGTGTTGGTAAACTAGTTGGATGTCCAGAGATAGTTTTAAAAATCAAGTTTCAGTCTCAAAAACCAGCCTTCAGTTTAAAGAGTTACTGTTGAGGCAGTCATCAACGTACCTTTATAGAAATAACAAAGTGTCCGCCATTCTTCAGGAAGTTATGAGCGTTTAAAGCAACAATCCTTGTCTGGTCAGGCTGGGCAACGTCAGCAAAAATCACATCCACCATGCCTAAAGAGAGAGACCATACACAGGTTCTGTTAACACATTTACATTGAAGGTTATCCAGTGTCACTTCTCAAATGCAGATACTGACAGCCTTATGACCGCATGATGCTTATGTGCAGTGTCCATTGTCATTTTCTGTAATAATAGGCAGATCCATTTTAATTAAAAAATTCAATGTTAAAAAGCAAAGAGAAAACTTCAAAGGGAGGTGCATACTTTTTTATAGGTGCTATATGTAAGAAATTGTCCGGCTTCAAAAAGCTTAAAGTCAGTGTTGCTGGTATAAACTGTCATGACACTGACCCTGGCTTAAATATGGTTTACGTCAGGGGTGTTCAATTAAAAGTCACTGAGGTCCAGTAATTAACATTTCCTCCAAGTAAAAGGTCCGAACCGAAGTCCAGTTTGTGTCTTAAAGCCAGATTAGAGGGGAAAAAAAAAAACAACCAAAAAACAATAAAATACATTTTCAAAAGCGAAACAGAGCCGAATCACCCTTTTATCTCTTAAATGAAAGAGGTCCCAGTCTAAAGAACCAAAGGCCTCCACTTTCAAGTAAGAAAGTCAACATCCTCAGAAAACAATAACTAAAAGGTTTTGTTTTTACGTTGCTGGGCTGTAAATGTGCGTGATACGTCAGGTAGATCTGTCATACAGGGCTTGCACTCGGTTATTCTGCCCTCAGCTCGGACTTCAGGGGACAACTTTGCTCAAAAGAGCTGTGCTTTGTTTCGTAGTGGCGCTTCACGTTGCTACTTTTAGTTCATGCCATGGTTTCAGAGCAGATGAAGCCACTGGCTGTGAACTGACTGATGGAAGAATGAACATAAATTTCTCCGTCCACTCATCTTCAAAGCAGCGGTTTTCCTCATCAAGCTTCCTTCTTTTGGAGCCAACCATGCTGTCATCACTGTCTCTTCCTCTCTGCTCTGCTGTATAGGCATTAGGCAAGCGCTAAGTGGCAGCGGCAGCGAGCTGTGGCGATGCGCTTGCCGTGCAGGGTAACCAAACGATTTGATTGGCTCGACTGCATGGAGCTACTGCCGTATAAACTGGAGTAGCAGTGCCCGCTGTGCACAGCCGCGACTATTGGAAAAAATGCTCCATGAAAATATATTCTGGTGAATTTATCAGAGATTGGTCACGGGTCCGGACAGAACCATCACTCGGTCCGGATCCGGACTGAGGTCCGCCACTTGGTGATGCCTGGTTTACGTGCTGTCAGAACAGACCGATACTGGAACTACGAAAACTCTAAAAACAGTGTTCTGTTGTGCTGCGGTCGAGGACTACCTACCAACCAGCATTCGGTATTTGTGCGGGTGCCGAGCATCTTCAATGATTGGAATAATGTTGGTGCGCTTCTTTGCCACGTTGAGAAGGTCACGACCTGATCGATGGGAAAACTCCACAGCGTAGACTAGCCCTTCCTGAAACACAAGACATGCAAGTTAAGTTATTGTAATGTAGAAAGCTTCACTTAAAACTGATTCTACAGGTTTATTATACTAGTCATGAAAACATCCAAAAATTCATGTCAGGCTGAACTCAATGTTACATCTTGGTTCAAATTGGACCTTTTACTTTACTTTGGTTTGATTGTGTTCAACTGATTTTTCCAAGTGTAAAACTGTGAATAATTCATTTATGCTCATAAAATCTTAACTGTTAATATGTCCTATGATGTCACTTCCTCAGACCTTTTGAAGAAACTAATAAAAAGTAGTTGTATTTATCCACAACAGATTTCTGTAGCGCATCGCAAATTTCTTAATCTCTTATATACCGGGTAGCAGATAGTAGAGTGTGCAGTACTTACTGGTCCAACAATGTCAGAAACGTGGGATACTGTGGTACCAGAGGCAGCTCCCAGGTACATGACCTTAGTGCCTGGCTTGATGTGGATTTGGTCGACTCCTCCTAAGATGGCTGCTGCCAGCTTGGAGCGGAATGGATTCCAGGCTCTGTACTCAATCTTCGTCTCTCCTTCCTAACAAGCAACAAACATTTTAAATTGACAAAGTCTGGCTACAACACCAGAGACCATGAGGTGCTTTTATAAAGTTTACTCAACAGGGAATGTTGTACTTTTATTCTTAATTACAGGAAATTTGTTGAGCCTTGAACCCAGCAGCAGAGGTTGTCACAAAGCTGAACTGGTGTCTGTGCTAAACACTTGTAAATATTTTCCTTTATCAATAAGGATATCGATTGATACATTAGTTTTTATCACCTTGGCTTGAATGACCCATAAGACAAAAAAATGTACATAAAAAAAACTGACCACTGTATATATTGTGTTTTTTGTACCGTTTGTCAAATTGCTATAAATCTAAATTTGGTACGACAATGAATGATTTGGGCCTCAGCCTCCGATGTCTAGTCACTGTATCGTTGATCGTCACTCACCTCCACACTGATCCTTTTCTCTCCGTACACAGACTCTCCCACCACCATGTTCTTAGTGACCAGGGCATCTTCTTTACCTCTGCAGATGAACACTCCTGACAGACAGACAAGACAGACACACACCATAAGTCAGGGTCCTACAGACAAAAAAAGCTCAAACACATACAGCTAGAAATGTTGAAAGAATGCAACAACTCTTGCAGCGCTTCCTTTGGGCTTTCTACAACATTTCCAAGTATAAATCCAAGAAAGGAATCATTGAAACCTTCATGTCTGTGTGGCTCAATTAAGACCTTCTTCCCTCCTCCAAAGCCTCCTCTGCCGCCACCTCGGCCTCCTCTTCCTCTCGGGGTGCCTCTGCCACCACCTCCTCTACCACGAAATCCGCCACCGTCTGGGGATCTGAATCCACCTAAACAACAAAAACAGACACATTTCAATCAAGCTGCCCCTTAGTTCATTTCACTAATTGCATGTTCCTTGACTCCTCTCCTTGGGTCTTAGGCCCTTCCAGAGATGTGAGCAGAAGAAGTCAGGTTTGAGGCATCGGATATTTAACAAAAATAAGATATCCCTGTCACGTTAAGTCACAACACAGCAAATGTGATGAGAATGTACAGACGTCATACCTTTTTTTTTTACTTAACACACAAGTGCATAAAGTGTATGAAAGAGTTGTGGCACACAAAAGAGTACAAAGCAAACAAAGAATGACACACACACTCTTGAGTGATATATATCACATAGGCACTTTTGTCACAGGTATACTATACTTGTAATATTTTATCTAAGGCACATTAAACATTATTTAGATTCCATAATGAATAATATGTTCCACAAGTCCTTCAAAAAGTTGTTCTCATGCCACATTTGAACACCTACGATAATGCACATTATGTGACAATACAAATAACAACTCCCACCTCTTCCTCCTCGGAATCCTCCTCGTCCTCCAAATCCACCCCGGTCACCAAATCCTCCTCTTCCTCGTCCTCCACCTCTCCCTCCTCTGTCGCCACGAGGACTAAAACCTGGAACAAAACAGGACAATTGTGTAAATGTATACATGTGCATTTCAAGTAATGCTGCACTGGTGCATGGTGACAATCAATTATGTTACAGGACAGTGATTATACATGGACAGTTTACTTCCCACTCACTGCAGCTCCCTTATTGCTTTTCAGCACTGAATAGTGGTCAATGCAATTTAGATTTTTTTTCACAAGTTTTCTCATAATTGTGAAAACAGATGTCAAAGTATTGCGAAACGTTAGAAATATGAAGCAAAAAATGTGATTGCTTATGTATCTACCTCCTTACAGTCAGCATTTAACAGATGCACCTTTGGCTGCAACTAAAGCGCCATGCCTCTGTGGACAAGTCTGCAGCTTTGCACACTGAGACAATTCTACCCTGACTCTTCTTTGCTAAACTCTTCAAGCTCAGTCAGGTTGCATCGTCAGATGGACAAAAAAGTAGTTTTATCATTTTCAAGTCCAGCCAAATTCTCAACTGGACTAAGGCGTGGGCTTTGACTGGGCCACTCCAGAGCCGTCTTTAGATCTTTAAACCATTTCTCTGTAGCTTTGGGGCATCGTTTAGCAGGAAAACAAATCTTCTCCCAACTCATACTTCTTTAGGCCTCTGCATCAGGTTGGCCTTTGGCATTTCCCAACACATTGTAACCTTTTCTGAGTTGCTTAGTGTTTTTTTTCTTCTTTTCTACTTCATGGTGTGGCTTTAGCCAGAAATATTCACCAGTGACTGGACCTTCCAGATACAGATGCCTTTATGATTGGGTCACTTCAGACACATTCACTGGTCTTCGAGATTCACTTCACAAATTGTGTGATTTCTAGCACTAACTAACAATTAGTACTAATATGTTTCACTAGACATGAAGGTGTCTTTTCTTATAATATTCTTGACAAGGTAAATTCAATTGACCAATGTTGAAAAGCGATGAAAGCAGAAAGGGAGATGAATAGCTTTTGTTAGAACTGTAACAGGACAAACATCAGTCACAATGTAGGAGATAAAGCCACGTTTGGACAAGTGGAAAACTGCATTATTTCAGTTGAATTGGCCATTTAAAGGGATTTTAAGAAGGTACAGATAAGTGGTTTGGGTATAATGTAAAGAACAGCGCAGACAAAATAGATGCAGATGTATAAAGACAATTACAAACCCATCTTTACTACTGTTGGAGGCAGATAAAAGCAGCTGTGTGTAGTCGTGGTATACACGTTTTGGCTCAACACTTGCATTTAACTACAATAAAAACAATCTAAAATTCTCAAGATGACGCCCAAAAAGTTGAGTGTTCGGTTTTGGTGTGCAACTCTTGTCTTGTAACGGCAACAATAACCTCTTTTTTCCTATTTTGACTGATGCTAGAGCTAGCTACATGCTAACAAAACACAGTGAGCTCACCAACGAGGGCCCGATTTTAGTCTACTCGTCCTTTTCACTCAGATCTATTTATGATGGAGTACGATACAGTTCTACATGAAGTTAGAATGCAGTTTCTATTCATAATTATTATCTGTCAAACATTCAATCGTGGCTGTGTGATAAACGTGTTGACTCACGGAGTCGCGTAAATACAGACTCACATGGTTCCGGTCTGAGCTAGCGTTAGCATAAGTTGCACAGCTTTAGCCTCGTGACACAAACCACACAAAAAAGCAGTTGCAAACATACTGGAGTGGTTGGGAACGATCAAAAATAATGCTGTGCAAGAAAACAACACCTAGTTAGTTTCTAGGATTCGTTATGTGTTCGTTTAACTATATTGTGTTGCTGAATGAATCCCAACACGTGTGCTGAGCGACGAGAAGACCACGACGTGTCGCCACTGCTGCTCGGGTATTAATGTGGTTAGAGAATTTATTTAACGTGGATATTTAGTTTAGTTTCCGCGTATTAATGGAGAAAGCGTCCACACAGTTGGCGGCATGTTTTTTTTTCTTCCAAGTAACACTGGTTTACTGTAAGGCTCGTTGAGCTGCACGCCAGTGAAGGCCGAGCACACATCGACGCAGCACACAATCTAACGTTCCTCTAAAACTACCAACACTAAGTACAACAGCACGTAACATCACTGTACCTGGCCTCATGTTCACCGGCGTAAGGCGTTAAATCGACGGAGACTACAGGAATATTTGCTGTCCGCTCTGCGATGGTCCTCAATCAGCACACACGGCGTGAGCACATGTAGAAGTGATGAGCTTCTTCTTCGTGGCGTTCTTTATTTTTTCTTCTTCGTGCGGTTGAATTGGCGGTAGGCCAACATGTGAGCAGGCGCGTCATCGCCCCCTGCTGGACTTAAGTGTATAACATGCAATAAGAAAATCCTAGCTGTATGGATACTGCATTCAAGATTCAAGATTTTTATTTGTCATGTGTGCACAGACAGTCTAGGCGCATTGGAATTCTTGTGTTGGCTCTTTTGAAATTGAGTAAAAAAAAAAAAACATCTAGTCAAAATAGGTAAGCAATAAAAAAACTATAGAACAAAACAAGAGTAATAGAAGATTTATCCATCTATTACCTTTATACACCTAATCCACACTAGGGTCTCAGGGGGGCTGGAGTCTATCCCAGCTGATTTAGGGCAAAGGCAGCAGACACCCTGGACAGGTCACCAGTCTATTGCAGGGCTACACTTAGAGACAGACAACCAAGCACACTCACATTCACACCTACGGACAATTTAGAATCAAGTCAACCAAGTCATTTTTGGGCAAGTGAAAACCTGCATTATTCCAGCTGAATTGGCCAAAAATGATACCATGACTACATACAGCTGCTTGTATCTGCCTCCAACACTAATAAAGATTTCATTTGTTTTTTTTCCAATTGTCAATATGTCTCTGCATTATTTTGCCCACACTGATCTTTAGATTATAACCAGCCCGCCTAATTTGACCGTTAAAATGGCTTAAAAGGGTCAATTAAGCTGGAATATGCAGTTTTCAACTTGTCCAAAAGTGACTTTAGCTCCTGCATTGTGACTGATGTTATTAATGCATCAAGATGGCTTGTCCTAACAGTGTTTACAAAACATATTCCCCTCCCTTTCTGCTTTAATTGCTTTTCAGCATTAACCAATTTAATTTACTTTAATTGTCAAGAATTTACCCCCAAAAAGATTCTTTCATGTCAAAGTGACAACAAATTTATACAAAAACAGTGTCAATTAATAAACAATATAACATTTTTTAAAAAATGATTGCATATGTGATACTACAACACTATTTAGTGTACCAGAAAACAATTCATACTTTTTCTTTTTGCTTCAAGTATGCACTACAGCTGCCCTCATTAAGTAGTCACTGTTTAATGCACTTTTGGTACAACTAAGACATACTACTTTGTCGTCTAGAATAAAAAAAAATTCTGCCATTTCCATTTTAGAGCACTATCCGTAACATTGAAATGTATGTATTTAGACCACCTTCCCTGACACTTTAAATCATGCCATATCTGCAAATATACTGGCTTTCATTCATCTACATAAAACAGAAACATTGTTTATTAATGAAGTAATTTTTTTCCCCTAAGATTTCTTGTGAAAAAGCAAAATAAATGATTCTGAGAGACTTTTCATAAGATAGACTTGCACAGGTACCATGTTTTAAAGCTACACAACTGTTCATATCATTGTGAAACACTCCAGAGGACAGAGAACTGATGACCCCGCTATCCACCACAGCCTGACAACCAAGAGGCAGCCAACAGATTTGTGCCCACATTTAGATCCCCCCTCTGCAACACTTTTCATTATACTTTTATTTTCTCTACATTTGTGAGCAGTAAGTCACAAAGTAATGTGAAGCACTTGATGCATTGAATAGAATACAATTCTACCCTGCTGTAGTACCTAAAAACGCTTTAGTTTGGTCAACAATCAGGTGCTTTTTGATCGTCCAGACTCCTGCTGTGCCTCCATGTGGCAGCTCATGGAAAACGGGTGATACTAACGCAGACAAAATCAGCAGTGGTCCCTACAGACAAAGTTATGTCCAGCCAACCATCACTGCTTTTTGTGGCGGACGACCAGTTAGAGATCAGAAAGTGTTGGCAACAACGCCACCTAGGGGAATTTCACCGCCCAGAATGTAGCACAAGTTTCCCCGCTAATGGTGACTGAAGGCTCACAAGTTCAAATAACACACCTCAGTGAAAGTATGTGGTTGTTAACAACATAATACAAACTAGGTTTTAACACGTCTTTTAAAAATACTAAATTCAACAGACACAAATATAACAAACAAAAAAGCTATTTACAACGAACACACACATCCACACACAGTTGACCACAAAAAGAAGCGATTCAAACAGACAAACTGAAAAAAATCCTGACAAAAAAATAAGAAAATAAACCTTAAAAGAAATTCCACATAAGTTGAAAGTAGCCTTATGTAAAATACGCTGAGCAAAAAATAAAATAAAAAAAATCAAGGAAGCAAGAAAAGACACATCTGTTCATCAGTGTCTCATCCAGCTCCCACTCTTAGTTCAGGTTTAGTTATGTCCTGTTTTGTTTTGGCATTTCCTGTTGCATGTTCATACTCTCCCTCTGTCTCATGTGTCTTTACACTTCCAGGTCTTTGTCTGATGTGACCATCTGCCCCGCCCTAAAGTGCTCCACCTGTGTGTGATTGTCTTTTCTGCTACAGTTTGTACATATTCTCAGTGTTTCCCGTGTTGTGTTCTTTGCTGGTTCGTCTGTCTTGCCAGCGTCTCAGTCCTTTTCTCTGTGTGATCTTCCCTGTTTGTCTGGTTTGTAGGCCTTTTGCATTTCTTTATCGTTGCCTTTGTTCACTCCATGCTTTTGTTATCTTTTTGGATTTTTAATGTGCTTTTGCATGCTCCCTGTGCTTTGGTTTCATCAAAACTGTGGTTTGTTTTTTTTTGGGAATCAGCTTTGATTAAAGTTTGCTTTTTGTTCACTTTACTACCTTTGTCAGTGTCTGTGTCTTACCTAATATTTTTCCTTTTTTAAAAAAAATCCCAGAGAGGAATACAAAAACTGAAAGTACATAAAACTGTGCAATTGCAAATTAGGAATATTTTCTTAATATCAAATGAAATTAACCAGATTTTTACTTGCTGCAGATTTTAGCCTCCCTGACAGCAGGAGGACAAGCGATGCATAGAGCACAGCTTAAACAGTACAGCAGAGCAGAGGTGTATGGTGAGCTGGAAATCAATGCATCCATCATCTATAAACCGCTTTATCCTCTGTGGGGTTGCAGAGGGGCTGGAGCCCAAAGCAGCCCACTTTGGGTGAAGGCAGGGTCAACCTGGACACCAGTCTATCACAGGGCTACACTTAGAGACAGACAACCAAGCACACTCACATTCACACCTACGGGCAATTTAGAATCACCAATTAACCTCAACACGTTTTTGGACTGTAGGAGGAAGCCGGAGAACCCACGCTGCATGAGGAGAACATGCAAACTCCACGGTGTGTGTCATAAAGCCCTGGATCAGACAATCACTCAATCCCAGATCGTCAATCTTGATTCAATGCCTCAACCACGTCCCCAGCACTGTCCTCCATTCACGTCTGAAAATCCCATCGGAGTGCCTGTTCTGCTACCATTCTAAGATCTCCAGACATCTACAAACCTTCTGGTTCACTTGTTTGCTTCAATCCTCCATGTCCACACATTTCGCTACATCAGACTCCTGCCTGCCCCTTCCCAGCCCAATCTTTATAATAAATATATGAAAGCACCGAAAACGCATCACAAAAGTTGTTCGCTTCATGTTGGTACATTTAACTTTCTCTCAGGCTTCAGCTGATTAGCTCGCTTCATCAGCACAGTGCAACAGCAATTCACATAAGCTGTGATTTTTACTGGGAACACCTGACAACAACAATGGCTTTCTTACCTTCATACCTCAACCTCAGTACAGCAACAACCCATGTGCACACAGTGTATAACAAAGAAAATCTGTTTACACTCTCACATTTGGCCTCTATAATAGTTGTTAGAAGGCACTGGAAACTCTAGGTAAGATGTAGAAAAATAAGGAATGGGAGTCTGGTAAATTCCATGAGGGAGAGAACACAAAAAATCAGACTAAAGATTTGTCAATGGGCCTGGCAGTGCTGGCAGATGTAGACCTTCCCATATTATAGGAAATCAAGAGGAAGGACGTATGTGACACTGTGATGTTAGTTAGTGACCATCCTGAGGAAAAATGGACACATTTCAAACTGATTTCCAAGACTCAGCTTTATGCAACTACAGAAATAACAATGAAGACAGATATCAAATCATTTCTCAGTCTTCACTATGAAGCTTGTGCCAACCTTGTGGGCACATGGGTGGGTGAAGGATGTTAGATCAGGAAAGATAATTATATGCTCAGATTCTACTGTGGCACTAATGGCACTGAAAGGCGGGAAAAGTGGTGCCAGAAAAGACCAGGCCAGACCAGACCTAATAATAGAAATTTGACTGTATTAAATCGTGCATCTAGGTCAGGGAACATTGTAGAGGTTTTTATGGGTCCCAGCGTACATAGGAGCACAGGGGATTGAAGAGATAGCAAGAAGTGCTGTCTGCAAGATGGACATATCTCTGGAAGCACTGTATAGAAAGGCTGATTATAAGAGCTTAATACAGCAGAGTTATGGCAGAACGATTGAAAGAAGGGAAACAAAGGCAGGTTTCATTTTTCAATACAGGTAAATGAGGTAAATGTGGTAAATCATTACTTAACAAACTGCTTAAATAAAGTAATAGGATTCATATTTAAAGTTTGAGTAGCTTTATTATAGATACATTTGAAGTTCTAAAAGCCAAAATAAGCAATACTTACAGTTGTGAACAAAAGTCCACACACATCTGTAATGACCATGTATATCACGGCAGTCTTGAGTTTCCAATGATTCCTATAACTCCTGATTATCTAGGCAGGAATTATTTTAAAAGTCTTCGTCACAAAAAACAATAATGCATTTTGGTTCTTTCATAGATACATTATAGGTCTTCTGGAAATATGACAAAATCTGCTGGCTTGAAAATATACATAGAGTAATGCTAATATTTGGTTAAATATCCCTTGGCCACTTCCACCTCAACGAGGCATTTTGATGGTTGTCTACAAGCTGTTGGCAAGTTTCTGGTTCTGTATTTGACCACTTTTCTTCACAGAACTGGTGCAAATCAACTAAATTCATTGGCTTTCTGACACAGACCCATTTCTTCAGCACAGTCTGTGGGTTCTTGATGGGGTTGAAGCTCGGACTTTGGATAGGTCTAAAACAGTCTAAAATGTTAGTTGTAGCCAGATTTTGCCATTTCTTTACCACTTTTGAAAAGTGTTTTGGGTAATTATCTTATTGGGACACTCAGCTGCATACAAGACCCAGCCTTATGGTTGATGGTTTTAGTTTTTCCTAAAGTATGCAGAGGTAATCCTCCTTCATTATTCAGTTTATTTTGTGTAATACCCAGCTCCACTCTCAACAAAACAGCCGTACTGTATACGGTTGATTAAACTGTAATCTGATTTTTTTTTTAAGTCCTTTGCCTGTGTATCCTGTGTGTATGTATGTACATGGGGGTATGTAGGTATGTACAGTCATCCTCAAATGTATTCATACACTTCCATTAAAGAAAAGGCAAAATTCACAACAGTCACTCAAATAACTAGAAACTGAAAAAAGTAATAATAAATAAAAAAATCCTAAATTCTAATTTAGTGAAATAAGATATTGCTGTTGAATTGTGGAGAGTTATGAAAGAATAATTTAAAAATAATCAAAAAACAAAACAAACAAACAAAAAAACAAACAAAACTGTCCCGGTCAAATTAGAGCACTTTGCTGATGAGCAGTGGGCCAAAATCCAAATAGCTGTCAACAGGTGCAGAAGTCTGATTGAAAGTTACAGAAAACACTTGATTACAGTGATTGACTCAAAGGGTTGTTCAACAAAATATTAGTTTACTGGTCCTATCATGCGTGTTTTTAGTTTTTCTTTCTTTAAAAAAAAAAAAATAAATGTATATATCTGTTGAACCACAATTCAAAAGCAATGTCATGATTTTCATTAAAATTTAATTCCTTATTAATTTTGTTAATTCCAACTTATTTCAGTGACAGCTGTTTTTTCTTTCTTTAATGGGAGGGTATGAATAAATTTGAGGACGACTGTATACGTGTGTATGCATACGGTGTACATAATGCTACTCCTACTGTTCATTTTGTGAAACTATTATTACGCAATTTATTTATTTATTTTTGTCTTGTACTGTTTTGGATATATCTGAGGGAAGAAATAAAAAATATATATTTCAAAAAAAAAAAAAAAAAAAAAAGTCCGTTGCTGAAACTTGTAAGTAGGAGACGTCCACATTCCTCACCAGTTGGTGGCGGTTCACTGACTTCCTGTCTGCCAACCGCCAGTAAACGTCAAACGAGACGAAGAAGAAGAAGAAGAAGACACGTCACTGAGGTTCTGGCGAGCAAAGATGGCGGGCCCCTATGAGAGTTTTATGTTGTAAGTGCTGTGGTTTAACATTCTAACATCACATAGGCTTGTGTTACGGTGATGATGAATGAAGAGGCGTGTGAGGCTCTGTGAGGATTTGGCTTGTTGGCATAGCTAACCTTAAACATGTCAGTTGTACTTATAAAGCAGTAGGTTCGTGTTCATCGTCTCACTGTAACGGTGCCTCACATTCCCTCCCATTGTTTATGTATTATTTTGTTTTAGTGACTTCAGTACGTAAGCGGTTGTGTTTCTGTGAGCCTGCCGGCAGCTGACAGTGCTGTGTTAGAGGTTGTGGGTGTTGAAAACGGTTGTTGTCTGTGTTGCTCCAGACGCACCACACCAGAGAAGTTTTACATAGAGGCTTGTGATGATGGCTGCCTGGACGTGTTGGCCATTGACAGGGTGTCGACTGAGATGACTCTGACAGGTAAGAACACACAGAGCTGGCTGACTGCTCACTGGTCACACAGGAGGAGACTGACCCAGCCTGGAGGCTCCAACACTGAGCTCAGTCTCACAATTTCACACCATCAGAATTAATCAAATGACTAATGGACTTGAAATTTAAATTCTAAATGTGCTTCACAAATGGATAATTGTCTCAGTTTTTTACTGTTCAACTTTTGGTTGTCGAGTCATTGGAATTTTGAGCAAAAATAAAAAATAACTCAGTTTTATTTCTGCGGTATTTGGTTGTGCACTTAAAGAAAAGGGTTGAGTCCCTTCTTTGAAGTGACACCTTTAGATATAGTTTCCCTTAGTGTAAATATGTCTATTTGAAACATCCATCTATCATCTATACACCGCTTAATCCTCACTAGGGTCACGGGGGGGCTGGAGTCTATCCCAGCTGACTTAGAGTGAAGGCAGGGGACACCCTATCACAGGGCTACACTTAGAGACAGACAACCAAGCACACTCACATTCACACATACGGACAATTTAGAATCACCAATTAACCTCAACATGTTTTGGGATTGTGGGAGGAAGCCAGAGAACCACAGGGAGAACATGCAGACTCCACACAGAAAGATCCTGGGTGTCCTAACTGAGACACAAACCAGGGATCTTCTAGCTGTGAGGTGATGGTGCTAACCACCGAGCCACCTTGCAGCTCTATTTGAAACATATCTATGTATATTTAATAGCTGTGACACAACATGTATTAATAGTTTGACCTGTGTATGTGCAAGACTGTATGTGCCCACCAGTAAAAAATAACCAGTTTCTACTGCAACCAGATTGGTAGGACACAAATTCCATGTGGAAGTCCATTCCTTGGTGGCTGTTTGTTTTTTGTTATACTTTAGGATAGACCTTGGATATAAATTATGAGCTCATACAACCACTGAATCTTTTATGGTGAGTGTATATCACTGCTCACTCACAGACAGTGTTGCCACTGTTGAGTTTCTTGCTTGTCCGAATTACTTTTCAGCTGCTCCCATGACGCTATTTTTGAAGCACTTCCCATTTTCAAATAGGGGTCTGTGAAAACTTTTCAGATTCTTTAAGTTAAATGATCATGAGATCTACAAAAACCTTTTCATTATTTGTCAGGGCTTCAGGCAGCAACAGTTTTTTGAGAGAGTACGTGTGAAAGTTTCACACTGTCACACTACAGCGAGTGTATGATAATGATTAAAACAAATTCATCCTTTTTCTTCTTGTCTCGCTCTGTCAATCTGTCCATGCCTGATGTGAAACAAACTATTCAGCTGTTGCGTGACTTTTCCAAAGATAAAGCAACCTGTGACTGATTATTCAGAAACAAAATGAGGCGAGAGGGGAAGAGGCTGGTGGAGACAGAGAGGTCTGATTATAGTACAGTCGTAGGCAGGAAGATACCGACTGAACCGGTGAAGAAGGAACAGCACTTTATCCAATTGCAATAGCTAATGCAGTAGTAGGCCTGCAAAATTAGATGAATATTTAGCACGTTACCAGTATTTTGATTTCCTACAATAATGTGAACATGATCAGCTGCAGTAAGGAGGACAGTCAGGGACGGGACTGGTGATAAAATTAATGTTTTTTAACAAACATATTCATCCAGTGTCTCAATATATTAGAATATTTCATTTTGAGTTAGAGTACATTATTATTCAAACAGTATTAGTACCAGGTATCTCTTAGTTTAGTTTAGTTCACGCAACCACAAACAGGGAAGACGCTGCCGTGAATGTTGTCAAGAACACAATCATTGACACACTGCACGAGGAGTGAAGGCCACAGAAGTTCTTTGTTAAAAATGTGGGAGTGCTGTATTGAAGTAATCTCATAGAAAGTTGACTGGAAGGGAAAGGTGTTATAAGAAAAAATGCACAAGCAACAGGAATGACTGCAGCCTTGAGAGGATTGTCAAGAGAGTTTCACAAGGACTGAAACTGGTGTCAGTGCAGGAGAGGAGCGACAACTGTCACATTGTTAATATCAAGCCACTCCTGAACTAGAGACAGCCTCCGAGGCGTCTTACTGTGGCGAAGGAGAAAAAGAACTGCACTGTTGTTTCTTTGATCTTGTAAGGGATCCAGGTAGAAAGAAATTTGTTTGTGTGAATGTTTTTGCACTGTTTGAGACACATCTTGATAATTTAAATCCAAAATGATGCAAACTCAAACACAAAGATGAAAAAATAAATATTTTTAGCTGGGACAGACTTTACAAGATTGCTTGAAATTAGTCTGTTTGATCTTTGGCAGTTAAATTTCTGATAGTATGCAAAGCATGCTCATATGTAGACAGTTGTGTTTTAATTTGACGGGGCCAAACTGCCACCGCTGGGCCCCTGACAAAGGCCCTTAACCAGGGGCGCCCTAGTGTGGCTGACCCTGCACTGTGACCCCTTGTGGGATCAATACAGTAGAAAGTAAATAAATAAGAACTATTTAAGTCCACCATCTTCTGCAGGAATGCCAGCTAAAACACATTTGCAAATCTTAATTTTCTTAATAATTTGTGCATTTATCAGTTTCAGTACTGTGTAGTATTGCTCAGTCCTTTATCTAGTCTCTTAACCTATTGAATCGTGTGTTTGCAGTGTTCACATGTGTCTCTGAACATTCAAATTTCGAACATCAGCTCTCAGTTAAACAAAGACGATTGTCTGTTTGTGAAGTAATAAAAAATTGAATATGAACATTCCTCTATATGTTTCATTTGATTTTGGTGATGCGCACTACAAAGTGTTTGACAGAATGGCTGGTATGCACACTTCAATGTACGTGTTTTATTTATTTATAATTCAAGTGTATGTAGTTTTTGCACTGTTTAAGTCATGCTTTTTGGTACATGTTCAGCAATGTGTAATGTCCAGAAGTGTAACATCAGTTATGCTACTGTTTTTATAATTCCTAATAAACCAAATAGGCTATCTTTAAAAGAATAAATTCTCCCACTATTTTCATTGATAAACTTGCATATTACATTTTTTCCCTGCTATTTGTTATATTTGATGTCTGAACATTTCTTATTGTATTTTTTAAAAATGTCTGATTGTGTGAATCCACTGACAGAATTGTTGCTTAATGTTGTTGCACAATGTCAATAAAAGGAATTCAATTCAACTTTTCTTTAAAAAAAAAAATTAAAGTCACATTGTGATTGAAATATTGAACACTGTTATGGCACATCACAGATTTTCCTCTTATCATGGAGGTCTGCTGAAGAGACCTTCACTAACCTTGTTGTGTTCTTGTCCTCAGTGAAAAGGGACATCCCTGCGTCAGCTGAGATCAGGCCAATATGTGGACTCATGGGAACTATTCGTTTGGTGGCGGGTCAGTACACTCTGTAATGCAGGAAGATCATGTTACAGCGAGCCTCAGGACATATGGCAACCTTAATCTACTTGAGAAGTGGGAAATTCCAACAGTGTGTTGAGCTCTGCTGTGCATTGTCATTTCCAACCACCTGGTTGTTTTAGGCATGTACCTGGTTGTCATCACTAAGAAAAAGAAGGTGGGAGATTTGCTGGGTCATGCTGTTTGGAAGGCTGTGGACTTTGACATCATCTCCTATAAGAAGACAATACTACACCTGACAGACAACCAGGTAGGATGTTGCTTCTTTTCATGAAATGCCTTTAATTAGTTGCATTTTGTTCTTTTAGATCTTCCATGTTGTTGAAGATCAAGTATGTTACCATATATCTTCATAGCCTGCAGCCTGATTTGTTATTTAAATACCTAACACTCTTGATGAAGTGCGCTCATGTCCACCGTCCTCAGCAACTATGCCCTGGAAATTGTGTATGCAACGTTTTGGTCTCATGGATCTGTGGCAGGATAAATTTCCACATACTAAACAATTCACTTGATATAACTGATCTGGGTCTTGTCAGTCCTGCATAGATTATTGATTTGCTTCTATAAAAACTGAATATGATGCGACAGTAACCATTTTAACCAATCTACTTCAATTCACAATGTACGTCTTTTAATGTACCAATCCAGTTTCTGTGAAGAGCCTTGCCAGCTGCTCTTTTTTCAGAATTCTCCAAATGGTTTTCGTATGGGCTTTCATTCATGCGACTGATGTTTTTGTTCCTGCTATCGTATGTGCTGTTTGTGCCCGTATTTTCCTCTAGATGGCATCAAAGTCATGTGCTGTTTGTTGAGATCTAAAACTTCTAAAACAAGCTAGATAGAACTTGTACACAGCTAGTCTGAACTTGAATATTGTGTTTGAGATCTAAAGGCCTTTTCAGACCTGGGATGTATAACTGGCTTCATCAGTCTATTAAAGTGACAGCGTTCTGTCATTCAGAAAGCGGTCACTTTTATGTTGTATTGAAGAAAATAGAAACATCTTCTGATGTACAAATCATGTAGTCATTCAGACCTACACTGAAATCTCATGTCTCATTAACCTGTTTCTGGTCAGGGAAGTGGGAGATGAGCCTGATGAGATTCTGGGTTCATGTTGAGGTCCAGAAATATGCCTAAAGTGTCCCCAAAATCACCCAGGAGTCTGATTTACTGTTTGTAGCTTCATCCACTGGATTCGTTTCACACCTCCACTGTTTTCCAGTTAATGTTGTGGTGGATGAAATGTAGACTCCAAAAATGTTCAGAGAAGAGACATTAAGAGCGTTTGTTCTGTGAAAAAAGATCTGAGTTAGTCGTCTCTGGAGAAAAAAGTAACTGAATTTCTTACTGCGCACAAACATATTTAGAATGACAAAGTCTCACTTCTGTCTCCGATGTCGTCCCCCTCAGGCTCTTTAATCAGTTAGAGTCCTCCATCTATGATTATTATTGGCGTTGGCGATCCAGTAGATGATGAAGTATCTACTGCTATTTGTGTGGGAGATTAGGGGCTTCCTGTCAGAAACCAGATGTTGGTTACAACTGCAAAAGATAATATGTCGCCAGGTCAACCTGACCTGATGGTGAGAGAAGTGACATTATTTTCTGGAAATAACAAGAGATTGTTTTTTGTATGACTGAAGCACTCAATCTGTTAAGTAGGTGAGAGTTCAGATTCTGTGACTCAAACAACACCACAAATGAATATCACTGCCATTATCTACCATTATGACTATTGTTACTCCTAACATTTATGTTAATAAGTGAATGCATACAAAATATGGAAAGTATGCATGAAATCATGTGTAATTAAAAATATGACTGAAACATGAACACACATGGTGCTGGTTTGTCTTTTGTTGCAGATGCAAGACAACAAGACCTTCTTGTCTATGATCAACAATGTTCTTCATACAGATGGCCTCTACTTTGCAACAGACTATGACCTGACCCACACTCTGCAGCGTTTGGCAAACACCAGCCCTGAGTTTCAGGAGATGACCCTTGTCGAGAGGGTAAGGTATACACCAATCAGCCAGAACATGTAATAGTGGATCTCTCTTGTACTGCCAGAACAGCTCTGACCTGTTTCGGCATGGACAGGGGACCTCTCGGCGTGTCCTGTGGCATCTGGGTCTGAGACATTTGCAGGCAGGATTGTAGGATGAGGCAGTTTTTGAGGTGTGGATTATCCTGCTTGTTTACAGCAACGTTTGTGTGTCAAAATAAAACGCAAGACCCAAGGTTTCCCAGTAGAACGTCATTTTGTAATGAGATGATCAATGCTGTTCACGTCACTTGTCAGTGGCTATAATGCTGTGACAGGATGGTGTGAGTGAACCTTTCTGTAGATTGGTTGGTTAGCAGTAGTCAGTTGGAACCATAAATTACAGCGACATTTGCATAAACATCAGAGTAGTTGTGTCATTGTTTGTATATTATCTTGTGTCTCAGTTACCAATTCCAAGTGGACATTTATGCTTGGAAACAAGTTGTTTTTTCAGGCATCGTCCTCACAGGTGTCCCTTCTCCATGTGTGGATCACCCACGTCTCCTATGGATTTGTCTTAACATGTGGTACCTGTCCTTGTTACAGGCAGATCAGCGTTTTGTTTGGAATAGCCACCTGTTGAGGGAATTCATTGCGCAGCCAGAGGTAAGACCAACTGATTGTTTTTATTTAGGCCTGAGGAGGCCTTGATGGTAAATTGCGAAAATTTTGAGTTTTTGTTGAACTGCATGTTTGCAGTAGCAAATATTAATGTTTCGCCACCAGAAAGGAGGTTGTACGTTGCCCAGTTTGTCCCAAACCTCACATTTGATTAGAGTCTGTGTCTAAAGACACCTACACAGTGCTACATACTGATAACTAGTGGTTTATCTGACCACAGATGGTTTGTGATTTGTATGGATTCCCATCACGGTTCGGCCGCAAGTCAACCATAAATTAATACAAGTTTACCTGTCATAGTGTTAAGTGCATTTTTTCTGCTGCTGTTATTTCCTGAAGTAACAAGAAGGCATTCTGACTATAGTCTTTCACCAGGGCCAATACCTTATCTGACAGTTGTAATAAAAGTGATCCAGATCCAGGCCAAAATTAAATTAACCATGTCCCACCTCTAAGCAACTTTAAGTAAAGTTTATGAAATTCACAACTGCGTAATCCTGATAACAGACAGACAAAGATCAGACAAAAATACAGTCAATGGCCCTGAAAATATACCTCTGACTTGGCAGAGAATAATTCTCTAAATCCTGATGCAGAGCTGGAATGAGAACAGATACGTGTACATACATACATGTGTATAAACATGAACGTGAATAATTTCTTTTTTCCTTTTTTTTTCTTATTAAAATAATGATCCGAACTGTGCTTTAAAGCTATAGTGCGATCTGAACTGTGGGTTTTGTGATCCGTTGCACCCCTATGGCAACAGGAAATGACGTACTTTACACTGTACACGCTGATGTTTTCATCCCAGCAGGTTCACCACATCATTGTCAAATGCAGTCGGATCATTCTTCAGACGTTGATGCTTCATTGTGAAAGTTGTCAGGTTTTATTGAAAGACTTTGCCCTGGCAGCATGCTGAATCTTGATGTTTGCCATGAAAGAGTAGATTTGTCTAATCTGCTACTGAGTTCACATGCCTGATAAAAGTCCCAGCTGGAACACATCTGCAGGTTAATATTGATTATAGTTGTAGTAACAACTATTGGACTCAGAAAGCCAGCCTCATGTGACAAACATAATTTGATTTAAGTTAAATTACAAGATCTGTTCTCCACACAATATGCATGATCATAATTCATGCGTATTGTGTGTTTTTATCGCCACCTGGTGGACACAGGAAGACATAACAAGTCACGCCCACCACCAGGCAGTAATTTCTGGACATGGACACTTTATTGTTTGCACAGTGACTGATGTTCATGAACGTTTACTGTAGGACTGTAGGTGACTTTAAAGTTGATTTCAGAAGACTTGTACACAGAAGTATAGCAACTTTTCATCCTTTGATTTTACAGCTACACAGGTTTGTCTATCTGGCTGTCCATGGCTGTATCCTTTTCTGTAGTTGTCTGACTGCATCATGTATTTACTCTCCCTATGAAATGGATAATACTAACCTGAAGAATGAGTGAGTGAATGGTCCTGACATGTCACACAGCATTTTATCAGAGTAAAGCATTAAATAATGTGTATCCAATTTATTGGAATATATAATTTTTATTTTTAGATTAAAGTCCCCTGGAACAGTGGACATGAACTTTATTCTGTTAATTGTGTTAATAGTGTTTTGTTTATTGATTAAAAATGTACTCTAGTAACAATGTTTTGATAGTGATCCAACATGAAAAAAGATCTAGTTCATTATGAATCAGTAGGACTTGGGTATCTTTCTATATTTATAATGTTATTTTTGCATGTGTATAGCACTGAGTTCGTACTGTTCCATGCCAGCACTGTTGGTTTCTTGACACATCTGTTGACTAGTCATCACTATAAAGTCGAGCTGCATTAATGGACATGTGTTTGAGTGGAGTATTATCTCAAGGAGGAGCTGCTTCAGAGCTGGTGTCCGCTACTACGTCCGAGGTGAGTACTGTCCACTCTGCTGTCCTCTGATTTCCACTGTGGCTACATTACATGCTACGACGCCTTTGTCCTCTGGAATTATTTTCAAAGTGAAGTGTCCCCAGCAGACACATTCTCGTTGCTGTTTAGTCCTGCTTCACCAAATGTTTTTGCACATTGAAAACACGATACAATGTTGTGTCTATACAGAAAAACAGTAACAAATGACAATCATCTTTATATAATACTGACAGGTTATAAATTAAAGGAAAAACCTGAGTGAATAGGTGGAAAAGCACAATGAATGCAGATGCTTCCACACGGGGGCACTGGATGGTACAAATCAGCATTTTCAAGTCAGTTGCGCTCTGTGGCATGTAGAAAAATACCAAACAGTCTCAGTCTTATTTTGTGTTTTTTTTGTACTGTAATTAGTGGACAGCCCGCTCTTTAACCTGGGCCTCCGTTTATTATTAATATTAATTATTGTTGGATTTTTAAAAGTTTTACATTGTTGAGGCCGTTCGACGGATTGTCAAGGCTTCTGAGGTTGTCGGTCTGAAGGGGACCAGATAACTGGCTGCCATTTGCATAACTGAGAGGAAGCATGTATGTTGAAAATAGCAGTAGAACAAAACGCAGCCTTGAGGGACATCACAATTACGCTTGGCAGTCGAGGAACAGGTATTTGCAGTGGCAGCAGAGACTGTTCTATTTGAAAGGTACGAGCACAGTAGATGTAGAGCAGTTCCCTTAAGGAAACCCAGATTTCTACTCAGTTCCAGGAAATTTGAGACTGTTCTCCCACAGGATCCCATTTATTCTGAAGTTCGTAATGTAAAAACAACCATGACTGTAGTAGAAGTCACCGTACACATGCTTAACATTTCAGCTTCCAGACAACAAAATAAGGACGAGCAGGTGCATGTCGGTTTCATTATTGTTTAGTAAGTGTCAAAAAAACATAGTTATAAAGGAAAAAATCAAATCAGCTGGCACCAGTCAACACCAGAATCATTACATATGATCGCATAAATCATTTGAACATGCTCAACATTGTAGTTTTGAATTGATGTTTCTAACAAGTATATAGGACGAGTAGCATGTAGTGTGGTGGTATATGTATGGCACATTGAACCTGTTCTGGTACCATGGTTGACCCTTCTTCTTTATTTTGTCAGATATCTGTAGTTTTATTACTTGTCAATAAATATGTGCAGTCATGATATTTAAGTGAATTTTACATAACCTGCTCCAGCAAACTTATACTATATGGACACAACTGACTAGATATAAAGTGGATGTCAAGCTAATTGCCTGTATACTGAAGCTTTGGAGGACTTAAATGTCTGATTTCTCAAGAAGTTCTTTTTTGTTTTTGTCTGTAGGCATCGATTCAGAAGGACATGCAGCCAACTATGTGGAAACAGAGCAGGTGGTGCAGTACAACAGTGCCAAGGCTTCATTTGTTCAGGTGA